AACTAAAAAGTTATATAATAAATAAGTAAAAAATTTGTCTGTAAACCTTTATAATCTAAAAATAGTAATTGAATATTTGATTAACTAAAGTTAAAGTAATATTAAAAATTAAAGTTATTTTTATAATACTATTTTCTATAAGAATACTATATACTATTATGATTATATAAAAATACTTCTAATTAATAGAGAAATCTATTTTATTAATAAAATATTTAACTCTTTATGTAAAAATTAGAAATAAAATATATATTATCTTTAGCATATCATCTGTAAACTGATGATAATAAAAATAATTAAACTTTAATATATTTTCAGTTCTTTTTGCATATAAAATTAAAAAGCATAAAATTATAAAATATAAGTATTTTATTTAATATATAGATATGAAGCTATTATTCTAATAAATTTTTTAAACTAGACTTTACAAATATAAATAATAATTTTTAAATTTTATAATAATATATTAAATTATATATAAATAATTTTTAATAATTTGAAAATAATAAAATAAAAATTAAAAAAAATATCAAATGATCTTAACAAAAATTTAATAACATTAAAAAAGTATAATTTAAAATAAAGATTTTATTCTATTATATAAAGTAATTTATAAGGCAAATAAAATTAGAAGAATAATGAAAAAGCTTATCTTATATATAATATTCTTAATAATAGTATTTATTATCTATTAATTATAAATAAAATTTAAAAATATCAATAAATAAGAATAGATTAAAGATATATTATATTAATTTTAATAGATTTCACTAAACTAAAAATAATTATTAAATAATAATATATACTAATAAATATTATTGCTTATATCAACAGTTAATTACACTTCAGATATCGGTATTGTATATCAATAATCAATGATTTTAAATGCAATTGTCACACTATGAAAAATATAATTTCTTATAGATCACGTGACATAATACAAATATCTAAAAATAGAATCTTGTATAACTGATTTTGAGACTTGAACTCAAATTTTATCAGAAAACAAAATTGTCTTTTTTGGTTATGTAGAATAATCTAAATATAACATCACATAACTGACAACATTTTTAAATATATAGATTGTTTCACTATAGAAAATATAATTTCTTATAGATCACATGATATAACACAAATATCTGAAAATGAAAACTCATGTAACCAATTTTAAGATTCGAACTCAAATTTCACTGAAAGACAAAATTGCCTTTTTGGTTTTGTGTAATATTTTACAACTTTATGATTAATTTATATAGGGTAATCTAAATATGATATTATGTGATTGTTAACATTTTTAAATATATAGATAATGTTTTATTATTAATAAACTATCTCATATATTTTAAAAAAGATTTTTATAAAAAATTATTCTAAAGATTTAAAAGATATTTTCTGTAATTTCTAAAATTATAATAAAAGAAAATAAATAATAAAGTTTTCTATATTATTTTTTGAATAATTTAAACTCAAATAATAATTATAAGAAATTTTAAATAAAATATTATTTAAAAAATATTTAAAGGATTTAAACTGCTTTATTTTAGATATAGTTAGGAAATAAAAACTATACTTGAGTCAGAAGTGAACTTGATACTTTTTAAAATCAGAGATTTTATTAGTTAAAGATTATGTAAATAGATAGAAAACACAATAATTATGTAACTTAAAAAAAAATTTTATAGCATATAAACATATATTGTCTTTTATTTTACTCTGAATATTTAATTTTCAAATTATATTATTTAATTTATTAAATACTTTAATTCAAATTATTATTAAAATGATTTTTATATAAGCATTTTTATACAAACTTCTAAACTTATTATTATTTATTAAATTAATAAAATAAGAGAATAGCTCTTGAAATATAAAAAATTTCTTTAATAATAATATCTTTTATATAAAGATACAAAAAACTAAAAATAATTATATAAAAAATTTATGAATTAATTTCTTAAAAAAGAATCTTTTATTTATATATTATTAAATATATATAATTAATATATTTTAATTGAATTAAAAGAAAATAACTTTTATAAGCAATTGATATTAAAAATTAAAAATAAAGGTAATAAAAATTTAGATAATTACTGTATTTATAAATTAAAGAAAATATATTTATAATATTTTTTTATTTAAAAATTATAATTTTTACTTATAGATTATTTTTGATCAAATTAGTAAAGTAATAAATAATAAGACACTAAAATATTTTAATTAATATATTTTTTATATATTAAAAATTCTTAAATAACATAATCTATTCTTTATATACATATATTTTAAATCTTTCTTTCTTTCTTTATAATATTTTTACTTTTACTAATTTAACTTTATAAATTTCAATTTATAACTTTGTTTATTTTTATAATCCTAATTTTTTTATTTTATATTTTAAATTTATATTTATATAATTTTAATTAATAATATTATTTATTTGTATTTATTTAATTTAATATATTAATATTATTAAAAAGTAAAATATTAATATTAAAATAATAATAATTAATTAATATTATTAAATAAAATCAGTATAATAATTATTTCATTTTATTTAATTAAATTCTTTTATTTATAATATAAATTGTTTATAAATATATAAATAAAAATTTAAATATAACAATAATAATATTTATGAGCTAAATTTAATTTTTATTAAAACTAATTATTTTATATATAGTTACTTATTTAAACTAGTGTATAAAATTCATGTATACAATGTATACATGTACACATATTATACAATATAAAATGTGTATAAATAATTACTAAAAATAGATAAATTATATATAAAAATAAATAAATTATTTATAAAAATGGAAATACTATATAATACATGTATTAATTTCTATTTTAGTACAACTTATGTATATGACTTTTTGGTCTAAATTTTATACACTAGTCTAAACCTATTTTTAATTTAGCAAAATATTAAAACTTTAATTTTACTAATTTTTACTAAAATTTAATATAACTTTACTTTTTATAAGTTTTAATATATTTACTTTTTCTTAAATTTTGCAGATTTTTTAATAAGATTTTAATATAATTTTACTAAATTTTATTTTTTAATATTTAGATAATTTATAAATTTTAAACTTATTTAATAACTTTTAATTTTATATTAATAGATAATCTAATATTTAAACTAATAAATATTTAATAATAAATTAATAATATTAATGATTCTAAGTATTAAAATATTTATATTTTTTTATTATATTATTATATTTTTTAAAGTTTTATATATATTATTAAAATTTAAAGATTATTAAGACTTTGATTTTAAAATAAAAATATATAATAAGATAGTAAGAATAAAGTAACTATTATTATTATTTTTAAATAATTTTTATTTTATATAATTATATTTAAATATATATTAAATAATTTAAATATTATTATAAAGTATAATTTAATACTTATTTTATTTTAATTTTAACATAATTATCAAATATAATAAAGAAAGATTATATAAGAAAATTGCAAAAAAAATTCAAACATTTTTAATTCTTGATTTTATTAAATTAAAATATAATAAAATCTTAACTTTAGTTAAAAAATTTTTAAAACCTAATTTTTCTAATAATTTTTTTTATATAATAATAATTTTTATTGAGTTTTAGAAGTTAATAATAGTTTTAAATTAGAATAAACATAAATTACTATTTATATTTATGATATATTATATATAAATAAAAGATTATAATTAAACAAAGTATTTTTTCATATAAAATAAATGTAATTATTTATATTAAAATTTTATCAATTATATTATTATTTAATATTATATACATATTATTAATTATTATTTTATATAAAAATATCTTGATAATAAGTCAAATCAATTTATAAAAATATTATTTATAATCATAATCTTTAAAATATAGATAAAATAGATTAATAATATTATTAATTACATATAATAATATTTATTGAATAAGATATTAATATAGAATTTATTAAGATACAGATAAAAATAATAGAATATATATCATAATAAAGAAACCTATCAAAAAATATTATTAAAATAAAATAATAGAATCTATTATAGATGAATATAAAAAATCTTAAAATATAATCAATTTAATAATAATAGAAATGTTACATTTTTTTAAATAATAAATTTAGAATTAATTATAAATAAATTCATCCTGCTGATAATCAACAGCAGAATGTGATTTAGGATATTATTTTAGAAATACTAACATTTGAATATAATTTTTGATTTTTCTTTATGATTTTGTTAAAATTTTATTAATTTATTATATAAAAAATAAATTATTAACTATTTTTTAATTGGTTTAATCACATAATCATATTCCAGTCATAATTTATCCATAAAGGAAATAATTATTTGGTTCATTTTGTATATTTTAGGATCCAAATAATATATATTATGATAAATTATTAATTAAAGACAAATTAACTTCATAAAAACATCAAGTTTATTTTCAGATCTTTTTTTTTTTTGTATTTATTTACTAATTTCCTAATAATTGTTAAGAATCTTCCGAGATTCTAATGCAAATAAATGTTTGTAGAATTTTTTCTTTCGCGTATAATTTATATATTGATGTAAGAATATGAATTTTAATAACAAGGTTAAAGATAATCACGAGACTAGCAATCAATGATGGATCGAGTTTGTTTGTGTTAGTTAAACCTAATCAGAAAAAGTCTAATTTAGTGAATTGTAATTTTATTTATGAAAAATAATGAATATTCTAATATGTAAGGGACAAAATTTTGTTTATAAATAAAACCTCGGTTCTTAAGAAAAGACGTTATTATCTTCCTATCAGTACTAGTAGCAATAGATCTCGAATACTCGATACTAAGGTAGTGAATAAAGGAAATTAGTAAAAAGAATATACCTTTTGCAAGCGATTAATCCGAGAACTTCACGGGCGATAATAAATTAAAAAAAATCCTTACTTTTATAAGGAACTATGTTCAGGAACATTAAGGTCTATATTCTACTCTGTAATAAAGCTTGTTTAAAGCAAGTCTGATACATTCATTGGCATCTCATCTATTTGAGTACTATAATACTGTTCAATATCACGAAGAATCCTAACATCCTCAGAAGTTACAAAGTTGATAGCAACACCTGAAATCGTTCGAAAATAATAAATAAATAAAGTGTAATTAAAACGAATGGTCCTTATAGATCTTAAAAAAAGGTTACCTTTCCTTCCGAACCGACCAGATCGACCGATACGATGAATGTATAATTCACGGTTGCTTGGCAAGTCGTAATTTATACTTTATAAATTATTAGAATATTAAAGATGTAATTTTATGTAGATCAACCATGAGAAATTTCAAATTACTTACACTAAAGACACTTGTTGAACGTCAATTCCGCGGGCCCAAACATCAGTAGTAATTAACACACGACTTGAAAAAAAAAAAAATAAAGAATTATTAATATTACAACCGGTGTTAAAAGTAGATAAAATTTAATTACCTTGCGCCTTGACGAAATTCTTGCATGATAGCATCTCTTTCCTTTTGAGGCATATCTCCATGCATTGATGAAACCGTAAAGTTTGCTTCGCGCATTTTTTCAGTTAACCAGTCAACCTAAAAATATTAACTAAATTTAATAATGAATGGTTAGGATTTAAAGGCCTAAAAAAGAATTATTTACCTTCCGACGCGTATTACAAAATATTACTGCCTGTGTAATTGTAAGCGTATCATACAAATCACATAGAGTATCGAATTTCCATTCTTCTTTTTCAACGGCAACAAAAAATTGTTTGATTCCTTCTAATGTCAATTCGTCACGTTTAACCAATATACGAACTGGTTCTGTCATAAATTTTGTAGTCATTTCAAGTACGTCGTAAGGTAACGTAGCACTCAAAAGAACGACTTGTGTATTAGGTGGAAGATAACGATATACGTCATATATCTGATCTTTGAAACCTTTATTAAGTAATTCATCAGCTTCGTCTAATACAAGCATCTTTATATGACGAGTTCGTAAATTTCGACGTCGGATCATGTCAAAAACGCGACCTGGTGTACCGGAAACAACATGTTGACCATAATCTAGTTTACGAATATCCTCTCCAACACTAGTTCCTCCTATACATGCGTGACATTGCACATTCATGTAATCACCAAGTGCTAATATTACACTCTGTATCTGAGTTGCCAATTCTCTCGTAGGTGAGAGAATAAGAGCTTGGGTTTCTCTGACTGTTGTGTCTATGCATTGAAGGATAGAGATGGAAAAAGTAGCTGTTTTACCCGTTCCAGACTGTGCTTGTGCAATTACATCGCGGCCTTTAGTTATAGGAACGATAGCTCTTTGTTGAATTGCCGACGGTTTTTCAAAATCTTAAGTATCAATGCACAATTGGTAATATCATTGAGTTTATTAATTTCATTTAAAAAAAAAAAAAAAATTACACTTACTATAAGCATAGATCCCTCTTAGAAGATCCTCCTTCAATCCTATAGAATCAAAGGTGGGAACTCTAAAAAAAAAAAATATGAAATGCTTTTGTGTAAAATAAAATGTAATGAAATAAAAAAAGTTTTCAAGTTAAAGGCTTACACTTTGACATCTTCACTGGTTTCAAAAACTAATTTTTCATCAGCTTTTCGATCAAACTATATAAAATTTATAAAACGACTGAATCAGTACCTCTTAAAAAGGTGAGATCAATTAATATTAACAATACAAATACCTTCTCCATTTTTAAATTGATTGTTTTCAAATATTGGAGAACGAATTGAATTTCCAAGCCACCCAAACTATAAATTCGATCAAAAATCGTGGCGCAGTCGTTATAATTAATTTAACTTTTATAATTTTTACTAGAAATTTGTAGATTTAATAATACATAAGCGATTACACTGATTTAGCAAATTAGTTATAAATATACTGTATATTAAAAATAAAATAAAAATAAAAGAGAGAGAGAGAGCATATATATACACATATATATAATTTTAATGTAAATTTCAAACAATTAAGTTGCAAACCTAGTTAACAGAAAATATGAAAAGCATGTTATTTTGAAATTTTTTCAAAAAAATAACAAAGCTACAAGTACATAAATCAAAAAATATGTTACATCAATACTAATATACATGTACAATCATCATATTCCTGCAAAGTATTTTCAAATAAATGTCGATCTCCTTCTCGATTACAAAGATGAGCTACAATTTTCTTTAACTGACATCCAGCATCCAGTTGTTGTCCGATACATGTAGCAATCGTTTGGTTTTGTATTTCTGCCTTATTCGAGTACAAATGGTCAAATAATCCATCACTACTCATTAACATAAACCTATTCCCACTATACTCCGTGAATGGCCCTAATTTTTCAAAAAATATGTCTGGCATACAAGATATAACTGGTCTTGAAGGATCCAATTTGAAAAGTAAATCTCCACAAGTTGCAGCGACATTAAGTGAAAAATGAATGCCATTATTATTTTTATATGGCACTCCGAGTTCATTATCAGCGGATTGCAATCTAATTCGCGCATTCTTCAAATTTGGACGAACATTACGATCTTGAGGAAATGGATCAAACTTTATAGGTTTATCCTGATTATCCACAAACACACCACCATTGGAATAGATTTGTAAGGCAAGACGTTCTAAATATGGCTTATGATCCTCACTGGAAAATTCCACTATCCACTTATTTTCTGTTTTACAACCAATAAGTGTGCGGGAATCTCCAACATTTATATTAATGAACCATTCACCAAAAAATAGATTGATAACTAGAGTAGCACCATCATCAACTGGTTCTGCTGAAGTTTCATGGACCTGCCATCTTAGATATTCCTCACGTTTCGCTTCAAGATATTCATCGTCTAAATGCTTAATAAGCAAAATCATATCTTGTTTAAACTTGTCTTGGACATCTTGGTCATCTAGTTGTGAATAATCATATTGACGTAGCATATTCTCTATACATTCTGGTATTTGAGTAGTTAAAAATGCAGAACATCCCGGACCTCCATGCCCATCTGCTAAACAAAATAATCTACATAATAAAGATCCATCCAAATTTTTTAAATCTTTAATACAAAATGAGTCTTCACAATTCGATTTTGGATATCTCATGTTTCCTTGATGACGAAATCGAGCATAAGAATAACCAATTTCCTGAGCAACTGCAAATGATGTGGGACCAATGGATAAATTAATATCAAAATCTGATGGTTCATTCGTTGTACACAGTGATGAATTGAAGTCATCGATCCTATATAATTAATAAGATATTAAAAAAAAATTATTGTTATTATTATTGTTATTAAGTTAATATTAAAAAAAATAAAAATAAAAATTTATATATATTTTTTTAGGGTAGATCATACTCATTTTGTAGTGTATCATTTGTGTCTTGTTGTGATGTATTCATTGATATATCGCTTTCAGATGAATCAGATTCGCTCTCACTTGTAAAATCACTTGTAGAATGATATCTAGCAATTTTTTTACGTGAAGGTTGTTCATCTGATGATTCGGTATCACTATCATCTGTTTCACTACCATCAGAGTCGCTATCAGAATCACTCTCCTCAGAATCGCTTTCCGACGTGTAATGATAGAGCTGTTTTCGAGATTTAGTAGATCTATTCGTTTGCGTGATCTTTTTGTTTGCACTAGTTATTTTTTTTGGTGGAAGTTTCTTCTTTTTTGCTTGTGTTTGTGTTTTCTTTTTAGTGTAAGTAAGTTTTCGCGCTTTAGGACGAGGTTTTCTTACCGGAGGACTTTGGTTTACATTGTCGGGAGGAGGATTCATATCCATTAAAGCAATAACTTCTGAATCTTTAGGAAATAACTTCAAGGAGATACGATAACAAACACCATATGTGGCTTTATATTTTTCAATGGGAGGTTCTGCTTTTAATGATCTGGCCGTAGAGAGTCCTGTGGAAATTGCACCTTGAATAGTAGCTCTCGGCGTATTTCCCCTAAGTAGTCAGCAGGATTAGTCAAACTCGACACGAGTGAAAAAAGACTACGATCACAGCGTGCCAAGAATTCGAGGAGGAAAAACGCACCGAAGTTGAGCCAGATCTAATTTCCGACAATCTTCTATAAAGAAAAAGTCGAAAATTTTAATTAAGTGATACTTATCGTAAACGATTTCTGACTCGTTCGCTTGAACACGGCGAATAGCATACCGACTAATTGCATTGCTGTCATCCATTGATTTCTGTTGTGCAATAGCGTTTTTATTATAGCATTAAAAACTTTATTGCAACGCTGCTCGGGTTTTAGTGCAAGACTATCAAAGGAAGGCATGTTTGGTAGGTCCGTCATTTTCTTAGTCGATTCGCTGTAAAAAGAAACTCACTACAATGGGTTTTTTTTTATTTTTTTTTTATTTTGATATATATAATATCCAAATATACTAAAAAAAACAAAATGTATAAAATGTATAAATCACTCGGCGAAGATGAAGTTTTACCTATAAAATAATTTCAGAACGACATAAATCACGTTTATTCGAAAATAATACCGGTCGTTAAAAAATTTATTATAATCAGTGATAAATATGTTTATTATAGATTTTTGCTAACTTGCTTCTTGAATGATCACCTATATGATATATAATAGGTAACAAATAGAATTTTTAGCAATAAAAATTTTCAAATTTTCCAATAATTATTAAAAATGAGAAACAGATGAGTGTAACATATTGTGATAAATAAACCATAATCCTAAACTTAACCCTAACAATCTCTAATTCTATACCCAAATCTAACTCTATGTTAAGGTGTAGTCTTAGTCTTATTATCATATTAAAATTTAAAATATAACTTTAACAAATTGTTACTTTAATAAACCTTTAAATTTTATTCAATTATTATAAATCTTTTATTGTTTTTATAATAAAGAAAAATTTTTAATATTTTAAAAGAATTTAATTTTAATATTTATTTATTAAATTATATTTATATTTATTATATTAAAATTATTAAATAATTTATTAATCAATTATTTTACATATATTAATAATCATAATATTTAATTTATTAAAAAATATAAGAAGTCTATTATTTAACTATCAGATTTTAGATTTTTTATAAATAATAGTGAAAATTTTATTTAATCATTTATTAATTAAAATTACTAATAAAATCTAAAGATTTTACAGGTCATCTAAATGATTAAAGGTAAAATATAATAAAATTATATTAAATTTTAATAAAAAAAATATAAAACTTAGAAAAAATATAAGTTTAAATAAATAACCTTAGTTACAATTTATATAAATTTTTATATATTATTACTATAAAATTCTTTAACTCAGATTAACTATGTTTTTAACTTCCTACTTAAAATTACTAATTATGATTAAAATATTAAAATCTGTTTAACTCTTAACTTTATTAAATTTATGTATTAAATTTAATAAATTTATCAAGTATAAATAAAAACTTGAATAATAAAATTATAAATAATTTTAATTAAAGAATTTAGATGATAAACTTAATTATAAATTTTCATATTAGATTATATGAAAATATGAAGAAACAGAAAATTATAAGTTTTAATTGATTACTTTATCATAATATTAAAAATTATACTTATAAAAAATTAGTTTATAATATAAATAAAAGTTTATCTATTTATATAAAATCTCTTTATTGTAGCTATACTAATTACTATATTATAAATTAATTAATTTAATATATAAAATATAAATAAACTAAGAATAATAATAAAATAATAAAAATAATAAAAAGTAAAATATTAAAAATAAATATTATATCAAATATTCCTAAACTTCATTTAATTTATAAAATTAAGATTATTATTAATATTAAAAAGTAGAATTTTATAAATCTTTAGTATTTTTAAAATTTACAGAATTCATAATATTTTTAGAATTTTATATTAAGAGATCATCATATTACATGATTCATTCTATTAATAATATAATAAAATTATATATTATAAAATTTTAGATATTTTATAATAGAAAAGTTGAAACTATTATAAAAAAATAAATTTTTATTTTATAAATAAAATATGATTTTTAGTAAATAAATTTAAATTTAATATTAATATAAAAAAAATTTTTTTAAATTTCTCATTTTACTATAAAGTAATAGAATAAAATAATAGTTAGAGAATAGTAATTGTTCTAGTCTGAAGCATAATAGAACATATAGTAGCGGTCATAAGTATCTGATTACCTGAGATTATTCAAAATTATTATATAACTACTCCTTAAATTTCCAGAAATATAATGTAACACAATACATGATCACCTGTAAATTTATAAGTGTCAATGATATAAAAAAAATTTAGATGATCATCAAACTTTCGCTTGAAAAATGGAACTTTCTTTAAAGAAACAATATGAAATTATCTT